TAGGTATACTTAATTACCAGGAAAACTTTATGGATCATACCTAACTAAGTGTTAAGCCCCTTAAAGTGAAGGGCTGATGTGATGTGACGTAGACCATAGTATTCTATATAATAGATTCAGGACTACATCTGTGAAATTGTTTGTTTTTCTTGAGACAGGGTGTCGCTCTGTCGCCCAGGCTGGAGTGCAGTGGTGCAGTGGTATGATCATGGCTCACTGCAGCTTTGACCTCTCAGGCTCAAGCAGCCTCCCACCTCAGCCTTCTTAGTGGCTGGGACTACAGGCATGCACCACCATGCCAGGCTAATTTTTAACTTTTTGTATACAGGGACTTCCTATGGTGCCCAGACTGGTTTCAAAACCTTGGGCTCAAATAATCCTCCCATGTTGGCATCCCAAAACTTTGGGATTACCGACATGAGCTATCACACCTGGCCCTTTTAGTTTTAATAATTTTTACATTTTTCTACTTTAAAATATTTACTGAAATCTATTATTTATTAATGTAGTATTCCTTATTTTTATGATTTTTTTGTATGTGTTTAATATCATTTTCAATATAAGCTCTTGGAAATTAGAGAACTTGTCTATTATTCATGACTGTATTCTCAATACTTGACCTTGCCTGGTATGAAACAGATATTGATTAAATATTTGTTAAATGAATGAATGATCATAGTGGTACCACATTCAGCAATTCTCTGAGTACCACAGCTTTTACCATCTAACAAATAAAATAGCTTGTATGGAGCAGAGCCACAGTTAACCTGCCATAAAAGGAAATGTCAATGAAAATCAACCTTTGTATGTGTAGAACTAGAGTTGGTTGGTTTCTGGCACATGCAGTCAACCGTCCTGACCAGCCTGGGCAACACAGTAAAACCCTGTGTCTGAAAATAAAAAATTAGCCGAGCATGGTGGTGCACACTTGTAGTCTCAGCTACTCTGGAGGCTGAGGTAGGAGGATTCCTTGAGCCTTCAGTTAGAGGTTACAGTGAGCTACGATGGCACCACCACACTGCAACCTCAGGGGTGGGAGAAAAGAGTCCTTTCTGATAACTTGAGTAGCCAGAGAAAGTGCTTACTTTTCACAAAGTACGATTTGAGGTAGATCTTAGTGAACAGGAATTCCATTCTTTCTGTTAGGAAGTTAAGAGAGTGTGAGTGTGGTTAGTTAATGCTTATTGAACTATCTTTGGAACCGATCTCCGGCTCTGATAATTTTAATCTATACTATTAAGAGTTTTTCTCTTAAGATAAGACTGTCAGCACATAAGGCCACAGCAAAACCGAGAATTCAGTGGTTTCGAAGCCTTTGTTAATTTCTGGCTGACAAGAGACGTAGTTTACTTTTTAGCTGCTAATATCTATTTAAGTGAGCAGCCAGGGAAATGTCTATCAGACTAATGATATGCAAAGCCCAGGCCATTCTCTTTGAGTCTCTGAAACTATTTCAAAAGAGAGGAGAATAGGTAGCTTCCACATACGTGGACAGGAAGGAGAATACACTAAAAGAAACAGACAACTATTTCCCAAAACAGAATAGAAAATTAGATTTAAGTAAACATCCACCATTAAAATCTACAAAACATTTTCTCATGAAATGTAATCTCTCTAAACTTACCTGTTATATGAAAGTCAGTTCTTAATATGCCACACGACAGTGACTGTTGACTGTTAACATTCATATGAACATATTTCCAAGTTTATTATTTGAAAAAGCAAATGGACTATAATCCTTTTTTTTGCAGTGATCTTTTTAATATTGACGATTTTTTTTCCAAAATAAAAGCCAAAGATTTTAAAGCTTGAAAATGACATTAAAATTTAGCTTCTCAAAGTAATGATGTTGAACTCTGTGTATCTTATTCCTGTTTATAGTATAACTGTCAAGTGATCATTTAGCCATTCTTTAAATATTTCAAATTCCTGGGAACAAACCGCATCCCAAGGTGTATCTTCTTTTTCTTTTCTTTTTTTTTTTCTTTATTTGACTTTTAAGTCCTGGGGTGCATGTGCAGATCTTGCAGGATTGCTACGTAGATCTACACATGCCATGGTGGGTTGCTGCCTCCATCCCTCCATCACTTACGTTAGGTATTTGTCTTAATGCTATTTTTTCTCAATCTCCCCATCCCTTGCTATCCCTCCCTCACCCCCCACCCTCAACAGACCTCAGTTTGTGATGTTTCCCTCCTGTGTCCTTGTGTTCTCATTGTTCAGCATTCTCTTATGAGTGAAAACGTGGTGTTTCGTTTTCTGTTCTTGTGTCAGTTTGCTGAGAGTGATGGTTTCGAGCTTCATCCATGTCCCTGCAAAGGACATGAACTCATCCTTTTTTATGGCTGCATAGTATTCCATGGTGTACCACTGTGGCCGACCCATTTCTGAAGAAGTATTAGCTGAAAAGTTCCCAGTCGTAATGAAAATTATAAATCCAATGACCCAAGAAGCTGAGTTAATGGAAGCACAAGAAACATGAAGAAAACCACTCCTAGATACATCATAATAATGTTGCTCAAATCCAGCCAGAAAAGAAAGGCACTGTGCATACACAGGAGCAAAGATGAAATGGCATCAGCCTGTTTTCTGCTCTTGCCAGCCTTTACCAGGAGCAGCAATGCACGGGAGCAGACAGCAAATGACACCTTTATGGGACTGAGGGCAGGGGAAGTTTACCCAGAATAAACACTGTGCGAGGAAAACGTATTCCCAAAACTGGCAGTGAAATAAGGACATTTCAAAAGCGGACCAAATTCACTACCAGCCGACCCGCAATACAAGGAACATCAAAGGAGTCCTCCAGGCAGAAGGAAACAGATTCCAGATGACAATCCAGATCTACACAAGAAAATGAAGAGCATCAGAAATGGGTAACTACACTAATTATTTTCTTATTTTGTCAATCTTTTTTTGTAAAAATTTGACCATTTAAACAAAAGCAATAAGAATGGGCTGTGGGATTTAATTTATAACATGCGCAAAAGCAACGTGCATGCCAGCGACAGCGGCAAGGCCAGGAGGGGAGGTATAGGATCACCTGGAGGTAGACTGCGGTAAGTTAGAAAACCCAGGCTACAAGCCCTAAGGTAATTACTAACATCACACAAGAGAGTTACAGCTAATAAGCCAGCAGAGGAGAGAGAATGGAATGATATAAAACCCCTGTGAACGCTGTGATGGAGTGCTTGCTCTTTGTACAGTGATTGCTCCTCTGTCCCTCAGAAATACAAACTGGCCACAGACACCTGTGCAAGAATGACTAGAGCATTATATATAATGGTAAAATCTTAGAACCAATTTAACTTCAAAAGCATACGGAAAGGGCTAAATGAATGACAGTTAAAAAAGAAAAAGAGAGAGAGAGGGAGAGAGAGAGGGCTGAGTGTGGTTGCTCATGCCTGTAATCCCAGCACGTTGTGAGGGGGAGGCAGGCGGATCACGAGCTCAGGAGATCGAGATCACCCTGGCCAACATGAAACCGCTCTGCTAAAAATACAAAACTCCGGAGGCTGAGGCGGGATAGTTTGAACCAGGGACTAGGAGGTTGCAGTGAGCTCAGATTGCACCACTGCACTCCAGCCTGGCGACAGAGTGAGACTCCGTCAAAACAAAACAAAAAAAGAAAAAGAAAAAAAGAGAGAAAAAATCTTCTGTCAAAAAATATTCAGAGGTTAACAATGATAATCTAGTCTTCGAAGGATATGGGTGTTCCCAGAATCCTAGTGGACCTTGATTTACCTACGGGAGACATAGAGGAGCGGAGGGTAAAGTTGCTCTCGCTCTGCCTTTCCGTGAGAGGATGCGCTGGACAGAAGGAAGCTGCCAGCGGTTTCGGCATTTGTAAAATGCAAGAGACAATCCCGGGTCCGGACTCGTCCACCTCCAGAGCTGGAAGCAAGCACAGCAATCGACCGAGCCGCGCACACGCTCAGCTTGCAGTCCGGCGTCCCCGTGCAGAGCAGGTGCCCAGGCCGCGCTGGCGGAGCCGCGCCTTCTGCAGAACGCTCGTGCGGGCCCCAGAGCCTCGGAAAACTGGAGGCAGCGTCTTGCCGCAATGTTGAGACCCGTGCAGTGGGTGATGCTGAAGCTAGAAGGGCAGCCCTGCGGCCTTCGCCCTGTCCTGTTCCCGGCCGGCGTCAGAGCCGGAGTCCCAGGAAACGCCCGGGTCCGCGGCTCCCTGGGCCTGAGCCGCCTGGGCCCCGCGGGAAGCAGAACGCCCGGGACCCCGCGGTGGCTCTTCCCCTTCTTGGCCCCGCCTGCACCCGACCCGCTACCGGCTGGGGCTCCCCTGGCTTCACTCGGCTTGGGTCGGTGGGGCGGGAGAGAGAAAGGCTGAAAAGTAGGAATTGGGAGAGGGGGAGAGGACAGAGGAGGTGTGTACGGGGACAGCGGGGCTCCCGGGAGAGGCGGTGCAGGGGGCCCAGGCTGCGGCGGAGGAGATGAGAATTGTTGTCACCCGTGAGGATGGCGAGGGAGGAGGGAAAAGCTGAGCGAGCAGGAAAGGGAGAAAAGCGCGAGCAGCCTGCGGCTGTCTGGGAACGAAGCCGCCCAACAACTGAAATCTCCTGTCGTCAAACTTCCCAGCGCAAGCCCAGGCGTCGCCGCTTGGCCTGTGGCTCGCCGTGATCGTATAGTGGTTAGTACTCTGCGTTGTGGCCGCAGCAACCTCGGTTCGAATCCGAGTCACGGCAGTGACGTTCGTCGGGCCACCAGCTCCCTTTTGTTCCTCTAACCAAGCGCGTCAGGAGACTTCAGGGGAAGGAAGAGAGACCTCAAGCAGTCACGGATAGGGCGACCTCTGTGTAGACGAGGCGGCGCCCGGGCTGCTGCTTCGCCACGAAGGCGCTCCCGGGCTGTGGGCGCGAGTTCAGCACCGCTGCTCTGACGTGGGAGTCCCAGCTGCGTGTCTGGGCGAGGCGGGAGGGGGTGCGCAGGGCAAGTGACCGCGTTTGTAAAGGGGGAGGCGTAAGAGGCTGTGGCGGGGCGGAGGTGCAGAAAATCTCACCTGGCAGGGGAGACACTATGGTCACGAATGTAGTTTTCCCAGGATGAGCCTCACCAAGTGGATCCTGATGTGCTGACGCCTGCGATTTTCCCCAAATATGGGAACCGCGCCTGCATAATTTGTGGTAGTGGTGCCTGTGTTCGCGCTTTCCCCTGGATTCTTGCAGTGTAGACAGCAGATTGTACGCGATAGGCTACTCTCAGTTTCTACCGGGTTACACCCTGTGCGGGATCCCAAGTGTTCTCCTCGTAGGCCGGAGACTATAAAATAGGAAGTAACGCGTTGCTGTCCTTACTGCTGCAAAAGTTGGAAGCCTCAGCCTTGGTGAGGTTGTTTAACAAAAGCTACCGAGCGCGGAGGCCTCAGATCTTCCCTTTCTACGTGGGGCTGCTTTGGGCAGAGATCGGTCCACGGTCTCCAGCCTCTTGGGTTCTCACGCTCTGTGAAAATCTTCGCGTTTTTTCCGCAGCCTCTGGAGTTGCCTTTCACACAGCCTCTGCTTCTAACCGCAGCCCCCACAGCCCTTTATAGGATTTCTGTGCTGGGGGAATGTGTTCTCACCTCACAGAACCAGGTAGAAACTGTACACAGATGGAGTCCGTGGTTTGGGATGAAAGCGGGCTCTAGGGCTCTCGGTGTCCCCATTCCGTGGTGGACATAACACGACTACTCTGTGGAGGGGAACGGGCGGCTCTCCCCGCGCCCAGGTCCCCTTCCTCATATTCACGGAGGCCTGCAGGTCACAACGGCAATCTCACCTGCCGGCAGAATGCGCTGCCATCTACCCCAACTACCCGAACCACCCAGCAACAAAATGAGACGCATTACAGAAACACGAGATCGCATGAATAATCTCAAAAACATTATGCTGACTGATGAAAACAGTGCATCCTGTGTGACACCATCAAGGTGAATTTCTAGAACAGGTAAAACTAATCTGTATAGTAACAGAAACTACATCATTGATTGCTGGGGTCAAGGAAGGTGGGGACTGACTGCCAAGGGCACAGGAGGACCTTTTGGAGTAATAGACATGTCATCAAACTTGAAATGGATGCATTGTACCATATTCAATTCATACCTTAATCAACTTGATTGTAAAAAGTCAAAAGTGTCTAACTGTGATAGGGAGTTCAGGAATTCCTTCATTTCTGTTTCTGCCTGTCTGCAGTTAAGTTCATGCACTATGAAATGGAATATTTGTAAAATAGAGTCTAAGCTTAATTTGATAAGAGCACATATATATGCTTATATATATATTCTGAGAATATGTGTGTTACATATAACATATATATATACATATATATATATATATATATATATATATATATATCCTTGTTTATTGTTTTTTTCTTTTGTTTGACCTGGAGGGGACAGTCTAGCTGCAATACACATTCTTCTCTCCGTAGATATAGCTGAAGAACACGACTCTATCAATGCTGCACTACTATTAGGAAAAGTTATTCTCAAACTTAAGCTAATCAAAACTTGCTTGTATTTCTACATTTTATGTACTGTTAATATAGTCTATGCTTAGCACGTATAATTGTCTAGCAAGAGCAAGGAGAACCGGGCCCTCAGCCCGGACTAGCTGTGCCAAGAGAAGCAGCAAGGGGCGGGGGAGGAGGGGTCTTTCCACCTCAGGGTTTCTGTCCTCCTAGGGTTAGTAGGCGTGCGTACAACTCCCTCTCCAAGTGCTGGAGAGGAGGCTAGGTCTTTGCCCCGGGCTGGGGGCCTTGCTGTCCCAAGGACAGCTGGGGAGGAAGAGGAGGCAGAGGCGGAAGAGGAAGCCGGCTGAGATGTGTGAAGCGGCTCTGGGTGCAGCGGGTAGGGACAGCGCGCAGGGACCCAGGAGCCTCCGTGCGAAGCCAGGCCTCAGGAGCAGCCGCCTTGTTCCTGGAAGGGGTGTGTCCTTCTGTCTTGTCTCCAAAGACCTTCTCGCCTGGTGGAAAATTGACGTCTCTCGTGCTTCCCACCGCGCACGCCTTGTGTTCTGTCTCCTGCTAGTGTCTGCCCCAGCCTTCGGGGGCTGCGGCTGCTGCGGTTCCACTCTGGGTGGGCACTGCACATCCCTGAGCCAAGAGCTGAGCTTGGAGGCAGGAGGCGGGAGTCGGGAGTCAGGAGCAGGCCCGCCCGGAGGAGACCCAAGCTCTGAGTCAGGGCTTTTTTGTCAATATCCAAATTCAGCGTGTAAAAGACGAGCTCAGATCTGCCTGTTCCTGAGCTTCAGTGAGAACACCAAGGCAGCGCCCTCAAGATCCCTAGGAGGGCGGCGAAGCGTCTCTGGGGCGATATCCGTGTCAGCAGTGGGCCATGGCAAGTCAGGAGAGTGCAGGACCCCAGCCGCGGGGTGGCACAAACACCACGACCTACGAGGGCCGGTGTGGGGAAATTGCAGGGGTCAGTGCGGTCGAAGTGCGGTGGGCCACCCTCGTCCAGGGAGAACCCCCTTCCGGACCACGTTCTGTCCCCTGCCAGGTAAGGGGAGGGGAGGGACAGCACAGCCTCCTGTCCCCTGGCTGGACGCTCAGGGTCACCACCTTCCTCTGCCCGTCAAGTCCATCGCCATTCTTCCAAACACTCTCCGCCAAAGATTCCACCGACAGTCACCCACACGACAACACAGGCCTCCTTTCAACAGCGGCTCCCCCTCCGCAGCCACCGCGCCCTCCCACCCCGCGGTTCTGAGCATTTCACCCCCTTGGCTCCCGCTCACACCTGCCTTCTGCTTTAGGGCACCGGCAACAGTTTTCCATCTGTGCCTACTCCACCTGCTGTCTTTGTTGGGTCAGCGAACGTCGCCTCCCTCCGGCTCTCAATCAGCAAACTGGAGGGCCCCGCCCAGCCCGCACCCCGGGCGCTTGAGGAGCTGGGTTGCAGAGAGCAAAAGGGAGCCGGTGGCCCAGCCGAACGTCACTGCCGTGACTCGGATTCGAACCGAGGTTGCTGCGGCCACAACGCAGAGTACTAACCACTATAAGATCACGGCGAGCCACAGGCCAAGCGGCGACACCTGGGCTTGCGCTGGGAAGTTTGACGACAGGAGATTTCAGTTGTTAGGCGGCTTCGTTCCCAGACAGCCGCAGGCTGCTCGCGCTTTTCTCCCTTTCCTGCCCGCTCAGCTTTCCCCTCCTCCCTCGCCATCCTCACGGGTGACAAGAGCAATTCTCATCTCCTCCGCCGCAGCCTGGGCCCCCTGCACCGCCTCTCCCGGGAACCCCGCTGTCCCCTTCCACACCTCCTCTGTCCTCTCCCCCTCTCCCAATTCCTACTTTTCAGCCTTTCTCTCTCCCGCCCCACCGACCCAAGCCGAGTGAAGCCAGGGGAACCCCAGCCGGTAGCGGGTCGGGTGCAGGCGGGGCCAAGAAGGGGAAGAGCCACCGCGGGGTCCCGGGCGTTCTGCTTCCCGCGGGGCCCAGGCGGCTCAGGCCCAGGGAGCCGCGGACCCGGGCGTTTCCTGGGACTCCGGCTCTGACGCCGGCTGGGAACAGGACAGGGCGAAGGCCGCAGGGCTGCCCTTCTAGCTTCAGCATCACCCACTGCACGGGTCTCAACATTGCGGCAAGACGCTGCCTCCAGTTTTCCGAGGCTCTGGGGCCCGCACGAGCGTTCTGCAGAAGGCGCGGCTCCGCCAGCGCGGCCTGGGCACCTGCTCTGCACGGGGACGCCGGACTGCAAGCTGAGCGTGTGCGCGGCTCGGTCGATTGCTGTGCTTGCTTCCAGCTCTGGAGGTGGACGAGTCCGGACCCGGGATTGTCTCTTGCATTTTACAAATGCCGAAACCGCTGGCAGCTTCCTTCTGTCCAGCGCATCCTCTCACGGAAAGGCAGAGCGAGAGCAACTTTACCCTCCGCTCCTCTATGTCTCCCGTAGGTAAATCAAGGTCCACTAGGATTCTGGGAACACCCATATCCTTCGAAGACTAGATTATCATTGTTAACCTCTGAATATTTTTTGACAAAAGATTTTCTCTCTCTTTTTTTTCTTTTTTATTTTCTTTCTTTCATTTTTTTTGTTTTGACGGAGTCTCACTCTGTCGCCAGGCTGGAGTGCAGTGGTGCAATCTGAGCTCACTGCAACCTCCTAGTCCCTGGTTCAAACTATCCCGCCTCAGCCTCCGGAGTTTTGTATTTTTAGCAGAGCGGTTTCATGTTGGCCAGGGTGATCTCGATCTCCTGAGCTCGTGATCCGCCTGCCTCCCCCTCACAACGTGCTGGGATTACAGGCATGAGCAACCACACTCAGCCCTCTCTCTCTCCCTCTCTCTCTCTTTTTCTTTTTTAACTGTCATTCATTTAGCCCATTCCGTATGCTTTTGAAGTTAAATTGGTTCTAAGATTTTACCATTACATATAATGCTCTAGTCATTCTTGCACAGGTGTCTGTGGCCAGTTTGTATTTCTGTGGGACAGAGGAGCAATCACTGTACAAAGAGCAGTGGGAAAGGGAGGAAAAATGGAGCGACACCAAGAAAAAAAGGAAATCTACGGGGACCTTTAGGTCTCCAAAGCGGAGACAGCCCTACATTCAGTTGAAAGAAGGAAGCCAGCTGCTTCCGCGCCTCTGGCTCCGTTCTTCTTTTCCCTTCGCCTCTAGCCTCTGCCTAGACTGTGCCCTTTACCTGCGACTAGAGACTTTACAACGTGTCTGTGGCTTCGGGGCTCTGTGCGGTGGGGAGACTAGAAGGAACCCCTACTTTGCACACTGAGGTCATCTTGAAAGGCTGGACTTTTGCAAGCGCAGCACCCAAAAGGTGAGGGGCTCCCTCCCTGTCAGTCGGCCTCATCGGATTCTTTCACTGTTGACATGATGCGGCTGTACCCGTTTTTCTGGCTCAGATACTTCAAACATCCGTGGGGCCTTTTCAGACCAAATCCGAAATGAACAAAAGGAGATGAGAGTTTGCACTCCAACTGGGTATTTTAAGGAAAACTAAAGAATTCAGTAAAATCTAAACTTAATGATATTCCCCAACACCTAATTTTTAATTTCGTTTTTATTTATTTGTTGTTGCTATCAGTAAACGAGTGAAGTTTAATCCACATAGACCAAAGTGCACCAATCCTAAGTGCACAGTGCAGTGTATGTTGACATAAGAGTCCATCACACGATCACGTTACGGGAGTTGTCGCCAGCCCAGCACGTCCTTAGAGCC